ATGTACATTTACTAACTGTTACATTCCAAACAAACAAAAAACTTAACGAAAATACTGCAGTAGAATTTAGGGACAAAGTGCGTTTAGTTCGTAAACAAATAAGAACAAAAGGGAATAAAAAGAACAATATAAAAAATCCTAACGGTCATATGAACAAAATAATAACAACAATGATCATACAATTATAAACAACATTAAGGTGGCTCAATAAATATAAATCAAATTAAAGAAATAAAAGAAATTTAAAGGGACAAATAAAGAAATTAAATAAAACAAATAAATCAAATAAAGAACAAATAAATAATTTAAACAAAACAAACTAAATTAAAATAAAACAATAAATATTAGCTCCTGCATGAGCCATTGGGCGACATCCCCACCCCCGTGGATCGGCTACGATTCACTATTCCAAATCAAGGATAGCCAGCTTGGAAACAGCGCGCATTAAACATCCAGTACTAGTGCGAATATTAGCACGACGAATAACACCATCTCTCCCTTTAAACACCTCTTCAACTTTACCACGCTTCCAATCTCTACGAGACACGACTGGATCACAAATTAGGACCAAATCACCAACAGCAATGGGCTTCGTACGTTGACACCACTTGGAACGTCTAGTCATCGTGGGTAAATATTCTCTTATCCACCGCTTCCAGAAGTGATCACGTAACTGACGGGAAATGCGCCACTGCTTTCTCAGGACCATTGGTTGAACATTTACTTCCCCCGCAGGAGTTTGCGATGTATTAGGGCAACCCAGCAAAAAATGATTCGGCGTTAGTGGTTCCTCATCTTCATGGCTCAAGGGCAAGTGCGTTAAGGGACGAGAATTCACAATATTTTCCGCTTCAATAAGGAAACTTTGAAACGTATGTTCCCGGGGGGCCGATTCTTTTAAAGTTGACTGCAAGACACGTTTGACGCACTGGACCATACGTTCCCATATACCACCTTCCGCAGGATTGTGGGGACAATTGAACTGCCAGTCTATACCCTTCGTAGAGCATTCATCTTGAATACGAGCCACATCAAATACTTCACTGAACCGCTTGGCTACTTGATCAGCACCAACAAAATTTTTTCCATTGTCGCTCCTGAGTCTTGTAGGAAGGCCACGTCTATTTATAAAGTTGCGTATGGCAAGAATACACGCATCTGTGGACAAATCAAAGGCGACTTCTAAATGAATGGCTCTTATGGTCAGGCAAGTAAATAAAGCCACCCAGCGTTTTTCATAGCGACGACCAATTGTAATAGTAAGTGGGCCAAAGTAATCCAAACCAGTGTAGGAAAAGGGACGAATATATGGAGTCAACCTGTCCTTTGGCAAAGAACCCATAAGTGGTGGCACCGGCAATGTACGACGAAATCTGCAAATAAAACAATTAGAAACACGCTTATGCAAAATTTTTCTAAGGCGAGGAATCCAAAATGATCTTCTAATTTCACATATTGTGGATTCAAAATTTTGGTGTTTCATCTTTTCGTGTACATGGGCCACAAACAACTCGGTAACAGGATGGAACGACGGTAATATAATCGGACGCCTTATATCCAATGGTAACCAGCTAGCAGCATCAACACGACCATAGACACGAAGTAATGAATTTTCATCCATATAAGGGCACAGGGCGTACAATTCACTACTTTTGGGCAAACTACCTTCATTTTCAATTATTTCAATTTCTTTGCAAAAATGCTCTCGTTGAGCTTGACGGCAGAGCAATATTTCAGCATTTTTTAACTCGTCTGCAGTTAAACCATTTTCTTCACCAGGACCAATCTCCTTTGTGCAGCGGTTTATAAAACGTAACACCCAAGCCACTGTACGTTTTAGTTTCAAATAAGAGGAAAATCTTTTATAATCAATGACTCCTTGTATATTTACCAGTAGAGCAAATTTTGGACGAAGTTCTTCCGAATCTTGTTCGTTTGGGGCTACGTTTACCCTTTGGGGCCAATTATCTTCAGAATCATAAAGAAATTTAGGACCATTCAACCAGCGGGAATCATCAGAAAAATCAACTTGGCTTTTCATTCTTGTAGTTTCATCCGCAACATTTAGATTTGTTGGCAGCCATCTCCAATCTGCAGGGCTAGTAGATTCAAGAATTTCCGTAATTCTGTGGGCAACAAAAGGTTTGTAACGGCGACTTTCTGAGCCAATCCAATTTATTACAGTTGTAGAATCACTCCAACAAATAATCCTTGATACCTTAACGGAATGTTCCTTCAAAATTGTAACCATTAACCGAGTACCCAAAACAGCAGCCTGTAGTTCGAGCCGAGGAATACTCATAATCTTCAAAGGGGCACATCTAGATTTGGCAGCCACAAGAGACACTTCAATTTTATTATGGGCATTTATTGACCTCCAGTATGACACGGCTCCAAATGCGTCTTCACTGGCGTCGACGAAAACATGTAGTTCCAGGCGGTAAGGAACACCATTTCCAAAATAACACCGAGGTACTTTGACCTTTTCAACATTTTGAAGACCTTGGCGCCAATTATTCCACACATCAACAATTTCACCGGGCAGTGCTTCATCCCAACCAATGCTATGTCTCCAAACTTCTCGCATCAACAACTTTGCGGTTATCATATAGTGGCTCAAAAACCCAAGTGGGTCGAAAACGGACATAACCACACTCAACAGCTCTCTTTTAGTTGGAGACCTTACACCTTCCATAACACCAGCATTCACATTGTGGAACTTTAAATTGAACCTGAAAGTATCATCTTTTGGTTGCCAATACATACCAAGTACCTTTTCCGTTTTTAGCTCATTAAAATCGCTGGAAAAATTCACCGGTTTCTCCACAGTACCTTTAAGAGCCACAATTACCTCCGAAGAGTTAGATGAAAAGTTACGTAGTTCAAACCCAGCTCCTTTATGGATGTTGCGTACTTGTTGCGAAATTTCAATGGCCCTTGCAGAGCTAGGAAAACTATCCACAAAGTCATCCACATAATCATGATCCAATATAGACTTCACTGCACGAGGATATTGATCACGATAACACAGAGCATTTGTTTCTTTAACATAATGAGCCACACAAGGCGAACAAGCAGCACCAAAGGTCATAACAAGCATTTCATAGCAATCGGGTGGTTCTCTATTATCTTCACGCCAAATGAACCTTTGGGAACATCTATCTTCAGGAGCCACAAGTACCTGGTGAAACATTTCTTTTATGTCCCCGCACACTGCTACAGCACCAACACGAAAATTGAACAAAACAGATGGCAACGGCTTATATTGCTGGGGACCTTTAAGCAGGTTTGAATTGAGAGAAACACCTTCAACGGATGCGGCAGCATCAAACACCAACCGAATTTTTCCTTGCTTATTTGGGTTGACCACTCCAAAATGCGGAAGATACCAAGTTCTGGGGCATACATCAGCAGCTTCTATGGGCGACAGTTTACGTACATAATCCTTCGACAAATAATCCTTCATTATGGTTTTATAGGCAGCACCGAATTCAGGACATCTTTTCATTTTTCGTTCAATGCCAACGAGCCTATTAAGAGCCATATGGTAACTGTCAGGAAGCACAACATCATCAGTACGCCACAAGAGCCGAGTTTGGAATCGGCCTCCAATTTTTATTGTTGTTTCTTTCATAATCTGCCGGGCCCGTAAGTCGTCCTTCGATTCTATGACTGGCAATATCTTCACGCCAAAATTCTCCGTTTCGAAATAATTTGCCACCAAGTCATAGAGTCTTTGCTCAGGCTGAACCGACAACAAACACAAATGGGAATTGGACGACTTACCCTTCATTTTACCAAATACGACCCATCCTAAAGGAGTATTGGCAGCATATGGACCATTTTCTTCCAGAGGCACAATTTCATCGGGAAGCCCCAAATGGCAATGATCCAATCCAATAAGCACTTTAGGGACTACGTCGTCGTATAATTTAATAGGCAAACCAGGATGATCACTTAAATCCATATTTAAACTTTGGGCCGGCAATTTTAAATTTGAAACTCCATAAACATTATTTAACGCATATTTCCTCTGCCTACCAATTCCACTTACTTGCAAATGAACCACAGTCGCCATTTCTTGTGACGCCTTACCAGAATACCAGTGTAGATTTAATCTGCTTTGTTGCCTCTGAAGACCCAGTTGCTTCACCAAGGAGCTGTCCACCATAGTAACCGAAGAACCTTCATCCAACAACGCATATGTTTCGACTTTGTTACTAGGACCATAAAGCACAATTGGCACCACTCGAAATAACAACACACTTTTATCTGTAGCTTTGGACACACAACTAAGCACAGACTCATTTCCATTCGATGAACCACTTGGACCAGGAGTCTCAGATGAAACCGTATTATTAATTTTGACATCATGCAATAATTTGTTATGTTTTCTTAGGCAACCATCAACGGGACACGTCTTACGATAACGACAAAATCGGCTTGAATGTCCACTACCGAGACACGAAAAACATAACCTCAATTTCTTAACTTCACTCCAACGATTAGGCACACTCAATGAACCAAATTTTTTACACTCAAATATTTTATGATTTGCCTGGCACAGAGGGCATTCTTGTTTATGTTGACCATCAGCGGCATGGAGGACAACTTTTCTTTTTGGTTCATTATTTTGACGATTTCCACTAGAACTTTGCACCATTCTTACTAAATCAGCAACACCTTTGAGCCACCTACTAAAATCCAAAACTGTAGGATATGGCTTTATAGTTGAGGCGTAGCGGGCCCACTCCATCCGTTTACTCATAGGAATTTTCCCGACCAGCTCTTCCATCAGTGTAGGATTTGCTAAATGCTGTTGTCCATTGGCAGTTTCCAAAAAGGCGGCTAGATTCTGCACTTTAACAGCAAGAGGCACAAGTTTGTCGATAGCACTTTCACTAATGGGCGAAATTTCTTTAACTTGTTGCAGCTGACAACGGATGAGCATTTCGGGCCGATCATATTGAAAACACAATTGTTCCATAACCATACTCACATTATCTGGATGGATCAGCAACGACTTCACACATTCCCGTGCATCGCCCTTCAAAGCCTTTTGGAGCCTCAAACAATTTTCAAAATTATTATAATTATAAACGGCAGTAGACTGGTTAAAAGCTGTTGAAAACATGGGCCAATCTTCAGGGACGCCATTAAATTCCGGCAAGTCATAAATTTTTCTATTCACCAGCATCGAGCCACCATTTTGAGACAACGGCATATTTGGCGGCATCAAAAAATTATTTTCATTACAGCATACGGAAGAAAATGGCGTCCGACGTTCAGCGCAGTCGACGTTGGCTGAGGCAGAATTGTCAACGTTGGCTTCACTGGTACCCGTTACTGGCGGCGCCATATTGGATGGCTGTGGCATGGCGGCTGAAGAGTTTGACGTCGAATTATTGTTCATGGCGATGGACAAAGCACGCTGGGCATTTAACAACTGGGCCTGGAGAACATTTATCTGGCTTTGGAGAACTTCTAAATTGTTGTTGTAGCTCGACTGGGGCAACGGCGGCTGAACAGCAGAGCTCAAAAAGTTTTGTTGGTTAGGTTGAACACTGGAGGCAACTGTGGTGGCTACGGTACACGTCGTTCCGGCAACGATGGAACTTGCAGGCACCTCGGCAATAGAAGGAGCAACTTTAGATGGTTGGGTTGAATAGGCGACACTGGTACTTACGTTTGGTGGAGGCACTCCAGCGGCAGTGGGAGTCGATGATGTTCCAGCGGCAAGGGAACTGGCAGGCAGGGCAGAGACTTCAGCGGCAGAAGCAGTCATTTGTTGGGAACCAACTTTTGTTCCGGCAGACGAGGAACCACTAGTGGGCTGATTCATTGTTGACTGTAAGCGCTGACTTTTTCTTGCAGGGGAGCGTTGCATGATGAACCACAAATACACAAAAGGTTTCTCAAAAAACCACAAAAAATTTCACACCAAAAATTTAAATAAATTTATTATTTGTCCCGGCAGACAGGAACCACTTGAGCTCTTTTCAAATTTATTTTATGTTCCGGCAGGCAAGGAACCTCTCAAATAAATTCACACAAAACTTCTTAATGTTCCAGCAGGCAAGGAACCACAAAATTATTCCAATTGAAATTTGTTCCGACGGACAAGGAACCACAAATTCACACAAAAGTACAAATAAAATTTGTTCCGGCAGGCAAGGAACCGCTTACATAAATTTACACAAAAACGTATTAATGTTCCGGCGGGCAAGGAACCACAAAAAACATTTAAATCCAATAAAATTTGTTCCGGCAGGCAAGGAACCACAATCGCACCAAAGATTGCGAAATAAAATTTGTCGCTGGCTGCGACTTGAGCCTTATGTTGAGGACAGCGAGTTTAACAAACACCCAAAAAGAACCACAAATTTGTTTAAAATTATGATGCAAGGGTGTAAACGTTTATTTCTAATAAAAAATTTAAATTATTACAAATAAATCAAATAAAGAACAAATAAATAATTTAAACAAAACAAACTAAATTAAAATAAAACAATAAATATTAGCTCCTGCATGAGCCATTGGGCGACAAAGGCAAATAATTATACTCAAATATCTGGTTACCTAAAATATCTATATTCTTGAAACATTGTACGTATATGTATTTATTTCTATGCCAAAAATAGGCTTTTCTATTATAGTAGGAGTGGCACTTCCCACAAAGAGATTATACTGAAATTTGTACATCTGGCAAACTATAATAGCTAGAATCATGAGTAGGAGTACTTATGTTGGGTATACTAATATTCATGGGCGTGTCATTTCTCATACAAATTTGATTACCTAGGAGACTATATAAACTAGAATCTTTAAATTTTGTTTTAAAAACAACAATATCAATGTAAATAATTAAAACAAAAGTGGGTGGACCAGCAATAGCGGACGTGCACCCCTATATACATTTTTGGAACTATAAAATATATGTAGAGCCCTCACATGGTGTACAATAAACTATACCACTAATATAAAATTTGCACCGATTGAGAATTATCAATAATAACGAAACTCTTGATTTCTCAGATGAAATGTATAATGAAGCTTTAATTCTATTAGGGAACAAATGTTTGCAGATTAGAAACATAACGTTATCTGAAGTTGGAATGTATGTCCCTATTCGAAGAGGAGATGAAGCAAATGACCAAGATCTACAACGTGAAATGGGTTACAATCCACAAGATTTAGAGAATTTGGTGGCAGAAAAATTACCGCAACTACAACCAATACCGCAATTACAAACCAACAAGGAGGGCTATATTTCATTGATACGCCAGGAGGAACCGGAAAAACTTTTCTCATCTCATTGATTTTAGCTAAAATTCGTTCACAAAAGAATAATGCCTTAGCCATTGCGTCAGCAGGTATTGCAGCAACACTTTTAGATGGAGGCAGAAATGCGCATTCTGCACTCAAATTACCATTGAAAACACAATTTTCTGAAGATTATACTATACAGGTAATGTTAAGAAAAATTCTTTAATGGGTATAATCCTACAAACATGTAAAATAATAGTGTGGAATGAATGCACCATGGCCCACAAAAAATCATTAGAAGCCTTGATTGCACTTTAAAGGACATGAGAAGTAATTCTAATTTATTTGGAGGTGATACCTGGTTCAACACCGGCTGATGAACTCAATGCTTGCCTGTAATCATCATATCTCTGGCAACATTTTCACACGTTAAAATTGACAACAAACATGCGTGTACAGTTGCAAAATGATTATTCAACTTCAGGTTTTGCAAAACAATTGCAGAATTTAGGAAATGGAAAAATGTTTCCCTCTAACTTTTCACACAACCAAAGGAAGGATTAATAAATTGTGTTTTCCAGATCTTTAACGCAATTTCAAAAATATGCATGGCTATGTGAGTGTGCTTTACTGGCACCCAAAAACATTGACGTTAATTGTATCAATAATATTATTTTGAATAGAATCGATGGTAATTTAAAAACATATAAATCCATCGATACTGTTACAAATAATGATGAATTATCCTGTAGAATTTTTGAATACACTTTATTAACCAGGCTTTCCACCCCACGAATTGAAGTTGAAAATTGGCGTTCCAATTATTTTATTGCGAAATATTGATCCATCACGTCTTTGTAATAGTACTCAATTAACAGTTTAGAAATTATTGAACAACTTAATTGAAGCAACGATAATAACTGGCCAATATAAAGGAACGGATGTCTTACTACCTCAGATCCCAATGACAACATCGGAAATGCCATTCGACTTTAAACGCTTGCAATTTCCTATACGTTTGGCATTCGCGATGACAACAAACAAATCTCAGGGCCAATCCCTGCAAGTGTGTGGCATAAATCTCGAATATGCTTCTCACATGGTCAGCTTTATGTTGCATGCTCGCGAGTTGGGAAACCTTCAGATTTGTATATCTACGCGCCTGAGGGGACAACGAAAAATATTGTATTTTCCAAGGCTTTAGAATAAGAAATAATTATTAAGAAACATTTTAATTGTAAATATTAAGTAAATAAAATACGAATCCAAAGCGCATCATCAATTTTATGTGGAGTTTATTGTTGTATCTTTATTTATTTAAGATGTAAAACAATTAGCTTTAAGCAAATTTTAAATTTATTCAATTATTTTAATTTAGTTAATAATGATAAATTACTTTTAAGTTTATTTAATAACACTGTAAGTAAAAATTCAACTTTCAAAATGACACAGAAAAACGCCGAAACACGTAAACTTAATTTTGGGCCATAGAATCATATGACATACTTCGTTTTGAAAAGTTAGGTCAAAATTGGGAGATTTTGCATTTTGAAGTTTATACTGCCTCTAAAGTAATTTTTGATTTTATTACCTTGTAAAAAAATATAAAAAAATTCTTGCATTGAAACGATGTTATAAAGTTGAAACAAGAGTCCACCCGTAGCAATTGTGATATTAAGTTTTACAGAAAAGGTCCTGCTAAAGGACTTCAAGGTTTAAAGGACATACAATTTTGAGAGATGTATTTTAATATTTATATTTCTTTTCTTATATCAAGATTTGTTATGTTTTAGTTTACCTGGACATCAAAAAAATTATAAATTGACTTTTGTTGGAATTCTATTGTCAAAAATGGCGAATTCATTTAAATAAAATTCAGGTGAGCATAACAACATTTAGCTTATTTCCACAAGTATAATATACATATTTATATAGGTGTATATAAATTAAAATACTTTTATTTCACAAAAAAAAAACTCTACGTACAATTAATTTTATATAACATTTTCATAAATTAAAGAATGGAAAGTCTCAACAAATGGAGGCGGTCGAGTTGTTGGTCAATCTGTGAGATTATTATGAATTTGTTTAATTGTTTAGAGTCTATCGCCTGTTCAACTTTACTTTTCATTTGCTATCGACCAACAAAAATCTGCAAGCATAGAGTCTATCCTTTTCCCAGCGAACCGATCTTCGAAAACCATTATTGTTTGATGAAATCTTTCGCCTGTTTCATCTGTTTCTGTGGACATTTGTCGTTCATAGAAATCAAAATGTGCATGCAACATATGAATTTTCAGCGACATTTTCACTTCAAATTCGTCAAAACACTTCATCATGTTTTCAGTATAATCCCTATAATTTGGAGAGCGATTTTTACATAATACATTCTCTATCACAGCACGAATTGAGTCCCATGCATTTAATGCAGATTTGTCCAATATTTCCTTAAAATGCTCGTCTTTAAAAAGCTTTCGAATATCAGGACCATTGAGTAGGCCAATCACGTTTTTCGTATTGGTTGCATTTAGCTCGACTGTCCCATTTACAAAAAACTCACATGTATTTTGTGTAGCCACTTTGCATTCCCGCCAACAATGAAAGTACCTTGAAATCGCAATTCACTCGCCAATTGTGTTTATCATAATTGATTAATTTTAATAATTGATTAAAATTAATTTCATTGTGTCATAGGATTCTTTCATTCCTATAGCATACATTAATGGAACAGGTTTTATGCTATTATCTTCAAATAATAAAACAACTTTGAGACTTCTAGTTGAAGCATCAATAAAAAGGCGCTATGAAGTGGGGTTATAGTTACATATTCCCATTTCCTTCATTAAAGCAGGAACATCTTGACAATATGCATACGTTGCATCTTCCGAAAGCATCAAATAGCCCATGTATTGTTCCTGCCGGTGCTTATATGTTGTAACTTTAACGCCTGGTGCCAAAATATTGACGCTTTTCAATTCTGACGCCAGGGTCATTGCATTATTTTGAGACAATTTCAGTTTTTTAACAATTCTGTCCAAATGATCTTGCGTTATTAATGATTGTATTTCTTGTGTATCTGGTGAAATGTACTCAAAATCACCATATTGCGACAATGCTCTGGTAGTTTCTGTCCGCCCATCATACAGATCTTTTAATGGATGTACTGGTACAGGTAATTCATCACTATGTGGAATTGGTGTTCATGCACTCGGAACACTCTTGTATACATATCCCGACCGTTCTGTTAGAAAAAAGATATATAATAGTGGTATATATGATATATTTTCTAAATCTAGAAAAAATACTTTTTCTGTTAAGACCAAATGTATCGTTCTGGCACGCGTAGCAATTTTCACTCTTATGTTCGCCAGGATCAGACCATACCACTGGAATTCCAAACGGCATCGAATTACGCCCAAATTTCCACCATTTATTTAATGCACTAACACATGTTAGGCACGCAAACTCCGGTGCATAATGTACATTAAATAATAGCTGTTATAAGCTTTAAGTCCATCATGAACTAAACGTCGTAGATGTTCCATCGGTGTATACTTTCCGCATACAAAACAAAAT